CTCTCTCTCTCTCGCATGCTATATCTTTTTTTTTCTCGCTCTCATTTTCTTTCTCTGCTTCTCACTCTCTCTCCGTCTCTCTCTCTCTCTCGCTCTCTCTCTCGCTCATTCTTTCTCCAGTAGACAAGAAAGGAAGTACCAGACTCTTGTCAACAGGTACAAACTGATGTAATTTGATGTCGTGGTACAGCCAAGGTAATATCGAGCCCATAATTTGAGCAACCCACTCAAAACTGGAACGTTTTTAGCGTACCAGCAGCTGGAATTATTTTTCTGTCCTCTGAGTTACAAAGAGTAAGTTGTAAACAAGCGTTTTGGAAGCTCCCCAAATTGCCTGAAAGCGAGAGAGAGCGAGTGAGAGAGAACAAATGATAGAGAGGGGGGGCAAGAGAGAGCTAGCCAACTGGAGCAAAACCCAAAGACTACCCCGCAACATTTGTGCTCGGGAAATTGAACCCAGCTTCGCTCCAGGGGATGACGGGCGTGAGATTGGTGTCAATATTCAGAATATGGAAGGAGATGAGGAGGCCGCAAGGAGCGAAGGTTAACTCTAGTTTGGTCAGGAGGAGGGCAATAGGGCGATTGTCAGAGCCCAAAAAGGAAGGAAAGCGTATCGTTTTAAAGGGACGGCGACATGGTCAAAAATGGCGAAAAACAAGCGTGCTACCAAGCTACTGGCAATAGGCCTCCTTAAGGTCAGATTGAGAGAACCGTTCTGGATTCCAGTTTCGTTTTAAAGCGGCATCGACAAGCCAAACTACATTCTCATCCAAAGTCGATGTACATTCCATCCTAGGAGAACGCCTTGCCGCAATCTTGTTCGGGGAGCGGTGCCCCGAAAGGAGGCAGAACAGCTGCCCCCCCCCCCGCGGCCTAGGTTCTGGTCAGCTGAATAATTCTCTACGACACACGTGAGACGCCCTTAGGAGATGCCATTTTTACTGCAGTATGCAGAGCAACAATCGGGTGAAACGCCACTTCCTGTGGTCCCGGTCAAACTACAGATGGGCTTGGCTTATGCATAGGCGTAGGCTTAGGCTTATGAATTGGCTTTGCATTGGCTTAGGCTTAGGCTAAGCCCTAGCTCTCAAAGAAAAGTACATCCATTAAAAATTTCCGGCTTTGCCCTGCTGCTCTTTTTTCCAAAATATTCGCTTTTGCAGGGGCCGTTCCGCCGGGAACCAAATTACGCCAAAATTTCCGGGTCTCCCCCCCCCCCTCCTGCTGCTTATTTTGAGTGGAGGGTGGAGGGGATGGAATTTCAGCCCATCATGCGCAAATGTGCCGGGGAGAGGAAGTAGAGGGCAGTAATTCAAGCGCCGGTCAAGCCAAGGTTCAAAAAGTTGAGGGGAAAATACACTGTATTGCGAGAGTCACCCCAGAAAATCGAAAGCCGAATTGCTCGAAGCACACAGACATTTTGGTTGGCAGGAATTTTAGATGTCGGTTTTTTGGGCTAACGAAGCTCTCACTCACTTTAGAGATCAGCGTTTTGTCTTATCGGCATTTCCGTTATCGAGAATTTGACTTATCGGCATGTTGGCAGCATTTGTAAATTGGACAAAAGTACCCATGGCGCACATCCAAAGAATTTTCGAGTTGCAGCTGTTCTTATAAATCGACCAACCCGGAAGAGAAGGCTCAAAATAAACCGGCGTGTCAGAAGCCGGCTGCTATTTTTGCAGAGCGAAGCCTATCTGGGAGCAAAAAACGCGGCGAGGTTAAGACGAACTGACATCAAATGAACAGGGAGGTGAGCAGGGGGCAAAGGTTTCAAATTAGCCGGAAAAAGTGGCCGCGCCGGAGACGGAGGCGACACCACTTAGGATCTTCTGAGAAGCGAGCGTTTCCGAGGAAAAGGAGAGCTACGCAACATGTCAAGAAACGGGGAACGCGTTCAAAATGAGAAAATAGCTGTAGCGAGGGAGAGAGAGACAGAGAGAGAGAGAGAGAGAGAGAGAGAGAGAGAGTGATAGAAAGCCGGAAATGGCACCATCCCTTTAGGAAATCAGGGCTATACGAAATCAGAATATTCCCTTACGGAATATTCCTAGCGTCAGAACACGCCGCTCCAGAAAATATTACTATGAGAAGATACATTTCTACATTCCGGGTATCGCTAGTTGAATATTCCAACCCCAAGCATGCGTATATCCGCTTGCAAAGTAATGGGGAGCGTGGGAACATTTTTTTTTTTGAGCTAGCGAGAGTGAGAGTGAGAGTGAGAGAGAGAGATGCAGACTAATCAACTTACACCCGTCCAATTATTATCCCTTTTCCCGGCGGTGTGTCAGGAATGAGAAAGGCTCACATTCCCAGGTTACGTCGAACAGAGTAAACATGAAGTTCCGCTTCCGCTTTCTTGGTCAGAGCTCAAAAAGTAAGCTTCTAGGTTTTCTAGTAAGCTTCGCTACAGTACACCACGATACAGTAGGATTCGCCGAATACGTCATGTTTGAACGCTCCACAATAAAGTACGGTACACCACATTAGGCAAGACTACGGCACGCAACCTACTGGGCGCGATGGCACAGTTCGCGACATCACCGTACGTTACGATATAGCGTACGCTACACTACAAGAGACAAGCGCTCGGAATACGGGTTTTCACAGGTTCCTTGAAAATAAACAAGGAGGATCTAAACATTATCAAAAAATTACATTGTTGAGTGCACAATTTAACGTATTATCGGCAATTTTTAATTTTTGGCATATTCTTATCTTGGCATCTACTGAGGCAGTTTGGCACCTGAAAGTCAGTTAATGGTATAACATTAATGCATAGAATGCCATGTCTCAAATAAGCTCATAAACTTAATAGAGACAAACTAGAAAATTCTCGGCAAACCGGGACTGCCCTTTAAAATTTAGAACGTGGCATCAAGAATCCACATGTAATTCAAGCCCGTGAATAGCATCGGACAGCCAAACTTCAACTCTGAACCCGATGGTACGGTCTCTAATTCGATTAGTGCAAATTTCCTGAAAAAAATCTAGCATAATCCGCTACAAAAAAGCGTAGTACAGCGTCAAATGGTGCAAAATGCTGCAAACTCTATGGATTCCGGCTAAATTAATCCAAAGATGCTGAACGGATTTGTGGCCCCCAAGAATAGATAACGAAAAAATGCAAAATCTTATTAACACCATCCTTCTGTTGGCCCCATTCAAAAGAACATACAGGGTGCGGCAAAAGTATTGTCGCGAGCTTTTGCCTCATATCTGATTCGCGACAAGAAATCGGAAGTTTTGTCAACAGGGTTAGCTTCAGACAGGTCCAAGGCAGCAATCTGCTTTTGAAAGTTTCTTGGAATCATGATTTTTGAGCGAGTTTCATTGCATGATGTACACGACTAAAAATCACGGTGCGCCGCGCCCTCCGTTCGTCAAAATAGGGTTCTAAATTCGGAGACTAATTGTCACCATGACTTTTCATATGTGTTTCTGATAGCATTTGCTTTGTTCTCCGTCGTCCAAAATGGAAATCTTATAATTTTGTGATTTGAAGGACAGCCATGTTTGACGAAAATGGGCCAATCTGGCCGCTTTCGCGAGAAGCTTGGGTTTTTTGGGTTTTTAGTTTCTGAAGGAGCTCTCAGGGGATGACGTAACATTATATTATTATGCTTGCTGTTTCCTGATTTTAATGTGCATGATGCGCTAAATCCTGATCGCTATCCACCTCTGATTTGAAAAAAATTAGCTTGCAATTGCAAGCGGGCAAGAAAACGTATGTTTTCGAACCAGGTCAGGATTACTGGGCTCAAACTTCGGGAATATTTAAAAAGTAGCATGAATCAACCAGAGAAAAATTAGCAAGGCTATCATTGCTTTGCGGACGGCACAATCTCGCTTTTGCATACGGGGCGGCCATGTGCGGCGCGCTGGGTTTGCCTCTTCTTTGAATAGGGCTCCCTCAAAAAAGGAGCCGCAACATTCTTTGGTTGATGGTATTTGAAGCAGAATTTTATCTGCTCTGTCAAATGAAATAAAAAGCTTGGCATAGATACCTTTCTTTGGCCATCTAGAGAGCGTCTAAAAAGCAGTTTTTAGGCTTGGATTTGCAGGATTTTTGGAAAAAGTTGTCCTGGCGACAAAAAAAAAGTAAAAATTCTAGAAGTAAATCTTATCATCGGATAAAGCATTAATAACTGCGTAAAATAGATTTTTGGCTAGAATATCTGTCACATTTCCGCGCAGATACAGTCGGCGGAAAGTCGCGACAATACTTTTGCCGCACCCTGTATATTCAATTAGCCGAGCCGGGTGAAGGGAACCCGGGGGTTGCCATTAAAAATGTTCGCCATCTGCGCAAATATAGACGCATTGTATGTGTGTGTCGAAAGCTGAGGGTTTTAGCATTAGAAAATGGACGTGCAAAGCCTCCTAAACGTTGCATGATTGGATCGGAAACCGAAAATGCTGATATTTTTGAATACCTTGATGACGTACGAAGTGCCAACAAGCAGAGCTCGGCGGGGAAATTTTCAGTAAAGAGGCTGGCGAATGCATAGAATATTCCACTTGTAGAGTTGATTGGTAATTGTCTTTGAAGTACTGATCGGTTTAAGCATATTTCAGCCAAACTATCGATTATTTATGGATTTGAAGTTATGGCCAACTAGCAGGAGCCCTTTAGGAAATTCTGACGGTTCAGCAGGAAATTTTTGGATACTAGGGTCGATGTGGCAAGGTAGCTAAAATAGTTTATGACATTGGCATCATAGGATATTGGCGGAACTGAGGATGAGTCCTGATCAGCTGGCAGGGAGCTTCACGGCAATGGTTTTTGGCCAGGTAAACTAGCGGAGATCATTTAGGAAATCAGCGCTTGTCCCGGGCGACCTGTGAATGATTATTTAAGAAGCGGTGCATGCTGCATAGCTTGAAGTTAATCTCATTTTTTGTACTTCTTTTTGCGTTTTTTTGTTTACGTTTATCCACGAATCGTGCCACAATAAATTCGAACTGTGGAAAATCAATTCAAATCCAAACAAAACCGAAAATAGGGTTTTCACTTGACAATTGTTGCAATAGAAAAAGCAGAGGGTTCTTCAAAAGCAAACAACTAAAATGGACATGAAACCAGGCCCAGAACAGGGAAAATATCAAGCTCAAATGAACACAAAAAAACAAACCATTCAGGCTCAAATTAAACAGTGAGTTCATCTTCATCCTTTTAATACTGAACCTCATCCGGCCCCTCCGGGTACGAGCACGTCTTGATAAACTTCTTCCGCCCATTGCTGTCAATGGAATGGCTGCCATGGTATGGATGTCGAGGCAAGACACGGGACTCGCGGAAATCATCCGAAGCATCGTCTTCGATCGTTGCTTGGCGCAGAATGGAGCCACATCCGTTTTGAGGTCGTTGGCATCCTCCTTCATAGCCATCTACCGCCAGGCTGATCTTGCGGGATTGGCAGCCGGACTCGAGTTGTCCGAGACGGTGGTCGATGTCATTGATGTAACCGACCTTAAGTAGGAGATTTTCTCTCTCTCTCTCTCTCTCTCTCTCTCTCTCTCTCTCTCTCTATGCTCCACTTTCCCGCTCTGCCTCGATCTCTGCCTCGCCGTCTCTCTCTATCTCTCTCTCTCTCTCTCTCTCCATCTCTCTCTGACCTTAATTCGATGAATCACATCGCGAAGCAGATATCTCCAGACGATAATGGCTCCGTCGACGTCCTTGTCGTGGAATTTTCGATTTCCTACGACGTCACTAGCATAATTTTAAAATCTTCATACCTTCCAAAAAACGTCTAAATTGAAAAATGACCGCCTCAATGAAGACGGACCAGTAGTAGGGTCGGAACTTGCCGACGAGCTGAAAAAGGGGTTGGCTTGTCAGGCCTAGGCTCAGGCTTGGGCTTAAACTTGGGCTTATGCTTAGGTTTAGGCTGAGGCTAAGTTTGGCTTCAGCTACCGGTATCACGATTTTACCTCCAATTTCCCATGTCTGCGCCCCAAATTGTCCAAAATCGTGTTCATGTTGTTGAGGCTGTCCCGATTTCGCATGGCGCTTTCGATTACCGGAAATCATAGTAGAGCCTTTTTTTACAGATTTTTAGCATATTTAAAGGACGAACGAGTTAGTCTGTAGTTTTACCTGCATAAATCGTAGGGCCTGGAACACGAATTCGTTGTTCTTTCTCAAGTCCTTCTTGCTCATTGTCGTGTCGAGTTTGGGGAAGAGGTACCGCGTTTCCGGACACTAGAATGACTCTTAAAATCAAATTGAAATTTAAGTTTATTAGACCAAAAAATTTCTCAAAATCTTTGAAAAAATCTCTAAATCTTACAAAAATTTAAACGTTTTAATTTGCTTTCGAAAAATAATTGAAAAACAAATCAAGCAGATGAAAAGTTACCTGATTAAAGATCATTTGATAGATATCGCACCCGACGTCCTGTTTATGCGGCTGAATAAGCGCCCAGGAGCGGACGAGCAGCTCGCGCTCATCCTCCGTAAAGTCGTACCAATCCAGGCTCGTGTTCGACATTGTTGAGGATCTGAAATTTTATCTAAGAACCAGCGCCCAAAACCCGCTTCGCGGGCCTTTGCAAGAAAAATTTGACTTTCCGATAGCTCGGGTCCTTCGGACCCCTCCCCCCACCGACTACACACGCGCGGGCAAATTGCAAGAATGAGGAAATTTGTATTTTTTCATATTATGCAAATTACCCCCAAAAATGAATAAAACCGGCTTTAACTTTGTAAACTTGTATTTTATCGAAATTCTGGAAACGCCATCGGAAAGAGGAGCGTCGATTCCCCCAAGCGACGAAAAATCAGCGCATTTGGGACACGGGAAGGCCCTCAAATCGGGTCTCGAAAGTGACATCCACACACACACAGAGCTACACTCCAAAATTATATAAGGTAGGATAGGCAGATATCGTGAATTCGAAGAAAATTAGAAAAAGAAAAATGGCTAAGTTAGAAAATAAAACAATAAAATTTGTGTTTCTACAAAAAAAACCAGAAACGGCTGAACGTTGCCAAAAAATTGTTAAAATTGCATTCAATTCAGTTTAAATCTTAGACCACGCGTAAACTTAAGCTTAAGCCTAAGCCTAAGCCTCCTAAGCTTAAGCCGAAGCCCGACCTCGGCCCTTTTTGGTCCGAACCCAAATTCAAACTTTGTGCCCTTCTGTGTCCCTTAAGTAGCAGAACTTTTCCTTAATTTCGTTCTTCTGGTTTGTTTAGTCTAGACCGGCCTCCGCAAAGTTTGCCAGAGATCCCAAAAGGCCCCGAAAACAATGAACTCTAAGGACGATTGAGGAGACTCCAAGGTCTCCAGACGTTGATGGTAAAAGAGGGACAGCGTAGACACCGTCGTATCCCTGGGGCATGCTGATTTGGGGATGGGAATTTCGGGTCTCACGTGAGGCACGAGGCCAAAATGGCGAGATCAAGGTGAATAAGGCTGAGGCTCATCTTATGCTTCAGAAGCTTAGTTTGTGTGGCTTCGGCATGGCTCAGGCATAGGCTTAGGCTTAGGATTCGGCTTAGGCGGAGGCATACGCTGAGGCTTAGGATTCGGCTTAGGCGGAAGCATATGCTGAGACTTAGGCTTAGGTACTAAAGCCTAGATAGGTAATTTAAAGTGAAGCTGAGATCAAACCTCCAAAAAGCCAACGAATTCCTCAATTAAATTCGGGATCAATTCCCGTGTGCCGCACGTAGAATTCGGGCGACCCGTCTGGGTGTGCCGAAATTTGAAAGGGCCACCCCGTCGTGTGGCAACTTAACGGAAGCGTCTTCTGCAGGATGGGGCCGGAAATTGAAAAGGCTGCGGTCAGGCTTTTTCCGTGGATTCAGGGGGGAGAGGAAGGTACCACCGTGCTGACCCCTATAAGATTTCTCATTTAATTAAGTTGTTTGAGGTGGGGCGGGAGGAGTGGAGTGAGTATCAGTGGAGTACGACTCCCCCGTGATACTCCAAAGGCCAGACATCGTCCGGGGGGACGACATCAACTAGAGACTACAAAAAATAAAAATGTAGCTTTGAATTTAATCATCAGGGAAGGGCTGCTGCACTGCTCAAACTTGAGCACAAAATTAACGTCATTAGCATGACAGGTTTATGTTCTCTAGCCTTTTATTAATGCGTAAAAAATAGTGTAGATTGATTCAACTAAGCTGTAGTTTGTAGTTTATTGACGTAAAAACCCCCAAATTACTTGAACGCTTTAAAAATCTCGTGCTCTCTCTCGTTTGGCTTTCTCGCTCTCTCCCATTCTTCATACCCCGTCTCGCTCACCATCTTTATTCCTCAGCGCGTGGAAAGATTCAAATTAAGCTCCTACATACAATAGAAAACCAATTAGCACTCAAAAAATATAGCAGAAACATTCCTGGATTCCTAAACCAAAATCCTGCTGAAATTCGAGGGCTCACGAGTCCCGGTCGAAACGAATGCCGTCCAGTCGACTAGGAGGGGGGCAAGCAAATAGGGCAAATAGGCATCTAAAGGGACTGCACACCGCGGCCAATCCACTTACCTTCACTGCTGCTCCTGCTCGTGCTCCAGCCCCCCCCTCCCTCACCATGGTCAAAACAGATAGAATCTACGATTAGGGAAGAGACCACCACTGCTGACCCTGCCGTTTTTAGCTTCTGGGGATTCTGGTGGGCAGGTTGGCATCAAATATTCAAAATGTAGTTAGGACTACAAGCTAAATACGTTCCAATTTTTCTCTTTTTCGTTTTTCTTTCCCCTGACGATAGGCGACAAACTACAAAATACCAAACTTAAAAACACCAGCACTCTTACTACGACTACTGCTGAACCTGCTCATGGCGTCCAGAGAAACGCCGCGGAATAACGACTTTTTTCGAGAGCCCTCCGAACGGCTATTCGAGACTGATCGTCTCATTGCTGCTTGGAAATGATCGCGGTTTTGTTTGGAAGTCAGAGAAAGAGAGAGAGAGAGAGAGAGAGAGAGAGAGAGAGAGAGCGTGAGAGAGAGCTAGATAAGAATAGAGTAAGGGATTTCTGACAATTTTCCCTATGCAAATGGGACAAATCGGGTTTCTGGAATTCGCAGATTTCGAGAAAACGAGATTTGGACTCTAAAAAATTTGGTTTGAGTTCGAAATTTAGAAAACTACTCATAAACGTTGCAGGCCCCGATCAGATCCCATAATGATATCCTAGAAAAACTGCATCCAAACCTCCTTTAAAGACCATCCACAATGACGTTGCAGGTTGGAAATCCTGCGGAAATTGGTAGCCCTTTGGAAATGAGCTGTGGGAATCTCGCGGGTCCCTAAGCAGACACACAGCAACTTTTTTGGACTCGACGCTTCCTGGATAGAGGTTTGGCCCCCTCTTTTACCCCACAGAGACCATGTCCATTTAGAATATGTGAAGAGCACTCAGCACTCCTCTGGCCATCCGGGGGGGAGTGGCCCTCAATTTGTGCGATGAGGTTCCGCCCGGCTCCGGAGGGCTGCTGATGTGTCGATGAATATTTTTTTACATCCCGAGTTTGAGCTTTGGCCGTGGTGTTCCCGCGCCGGGGAATGGAATGATTGTACAGAGGTGTCGACGGGAATGTTGCATATCGGAAACGGGGGTCTGAAAGCTTGCTGAGAGCCTTAGGAATAATTTTTAAGGCGGTTATTTTAAGAGATATTGCCGGACTGATCCAAATGAGGATAAAAATTCAGAGAAAATGGTTGAGGAATAAATTGTGACTTTATTTCTAGTCGCGTTTTTGTGCCATATAGCTGCATTTAACCAAATTAGGATTATGGCTTGAAATCGAGCCTTCTTCTCTATTTTTAGCAAGCAGTTTTTGGATCATAAATCCTACTATATATAAAAAAATAGTGTTTGTGTGTGCGTGTGTATGACACTTTGCATGCAACTTCCGTCAGCGTGTTCCAGCGTATCTCAATAAGGGGAGTAGTTAGGGATATGTTTTATACGTCATTAGGTGCGTAATTGCCTTGGGATGACTGCACACTAATAACATTTTTAAAAATTTACTGTTTTCGACGTTAAAATTAAGTTTTTGTTGAAAAATCCAGGGCCCTCTTTGTTAGGAAACAATTAGCACACGCCGGAAGTTGTGGTTGCCGATATAAGGGAAGAGCGGTAGCGTTTCTCATTTTTTGTCATCAAAAATCGCGAAAATTATGCAAAGTGCAGAATATCATGGGATCAGACGGGGCCAGGGTTGAAAAGTCGCGAAGCGGCTTTTCAACCCTGGTGTTCTTTAAGAAGGTTCCGGCATTCAGAAACCAGAAAGAATTTTGAAGGAATGGAAATCCATCGAAAATATGCAAATTTCGGCCTCTACGTAAATTCATGCCGGAAATTGGCTTCTGTAGCTATTGCTGGATTTCATTAGAACAGGAAAGCGTAAAGAAATCTCCAAAAAGGTACGATTAAAACAGAGACGAAATTCAAGCGCCGAGACCATGCTAATGAGGTGATTAGCATAAAAATTGAGCCCGTTCGGTCAGAAGACAAAATTCTAGATGTGTGAACCCGGCAGAAAAGCGTTAATTTGAATAAAATAATGGGAAATGTCGAATTTCCTATTTAATGACGTTCAGCCAAAAAAAAAACAAGTGTGGACCTCAGGCTTGATGCTAGTTAGATCTGTCGAATTTTTCTTGTCAAGGTTTGCTCATTTTCCTCCACATTTCCGGCTACCCGCGCTCTGAATCAGCTCTAAAAATACCGCAAAATCTTGCTTCTTCACTTCCGGGCCTGATCACCGATTGAGCCCCTGCGCTCCAGATACCGACCCAAAAATTCGACCCTTCAGGTGTCAGGGCTTCATGTGAATTTGGGCACGGGACAAACAACCCCCAGCACCGGCTTATCATTATTACCAGTTATAGGGCGACAGCTGAGGAGAGAGAGAGCGAGAGAGAGAGAGAGAGAGAGAGAGAGAGAGAGAGAGAGAGAGAGAGAGAGTGAGTGAGAGAGAGGAATTGATAGGCGGGAAAATGCTTAAAAGTGGCGGCGTCTGCTGTCCACTTCCTGGGCTCCAAACGAACGCTTGGAGATGAGGGTCTTATTTTGGGGCTTGCTATGCTTTGGTGTTTCCCATAGTCATTTTCTAAAGCTTAATCAAGGCCAAGGAATTGAGGAGGAATATTTTTCCGCTGAGGCAGAAGGTGACTCCGTTGAGCACGAGGTCACGGAGATCGACGCAGCGAGGTGAGCTTCAACTTTCGGGATTTTTTTGAATGAGAATTCGCACTTTTTTGGAAGCTTTCTCTTTTTTAGCGACGTCATCTTCATCAATAATTTAAATTTTTAACTTCAGAATCCTGCCCGATAAAGATAGCGACGTCATTAGTGCTGAAGCGGAAGTGGAAGAACCCTCTGAGGATGTAGAGGACGTTCCTGTGATCCGCTTCAGAAGATCCGTTCAGTCCTTCCGCGAGCGCGAACCGGAAGTTGATGGAAAATTGATCAACCGCTGGCCGATTCAGCATCGAAATACCGAGAGACTCGTCCTGAAGCGGGATCTCAGGCATCGTCGACAGAGCGGTGATCCGGAGTACGACTACAGGCACTTGAAGGAGAAACGTGGGTCGTTAGCGATAATTTATGAATTGGAAAATTTCTGATAGCTTCGAATCTCGTTAGCAATCTCGTCGGGACCTAATCCACAGAAGGGGTCGATTCTGACACTTCTCTCCACCTTTAAACCAGCTGGTATAGGCAGCTAGCAAACTATCGTTTAGCTGCTACCGGCAACCGACTTCCTGGCCGGTCGCGCAGGCATCTGCACTTTAACAACGATTGGCGCACAAAGCTGAACAGCGAGGAGATTGATGCCCTGATCAGGGAGGAAGAAGTCACGAGGTAGTATCGAGGGTTTGAGAGATTTACGCAATTTAGGTACCGTATCCGGCGCACACTACGTGAGCCTAAAGAGCTGTCGTACCCGATGCCTGATGATGACAAAATGTCAAAGCAGAGGCATGAGGAAAAGAAGCGCGAGCGGCGCTGTGGAATGTTTTGCGCAGGCCCTCATTCGGAGGATGACGGCCCCCAATAACTACTAAAAAATGTAATAAAATGACTAGAAAACGAAGGATAAAACCGTGAACGCGCATGATCTTTGGCTATAATTTCTATTTTACCTCGCCTCCCCGCACCCGCCATCCCCCCCGATCCGACTCCTTCTCGCGATTTTTACCATCTGTGCTTTTCCATGATTCGGTGAATTTTGTCGTGATTTTCGTCGCAAAATGTTGCTTATTTATCATATTTCACCACTCTGATTTGTAGTAACTCCAGTAGGCCTGTGTCTCGAGTTTTGTATCCACCGCTGGGGCCTTGTGGACCAGGGTCGGAGCAAGAGCGGCGGATTTTCGGCACCGGAACAGGCTTATCCAGGCCTGAAATAGTGTTGATAGAGCTCTTTAGCGATTCCAAAATGACAAGAGCTATTTGACAAATTTTGTGAAAAGTTCAAACTCTACAAGGAAAATTACTTGTATCATCTGGGCCCTCCATTCCGGCACTATAGCGACGAGGCCGGGCACCATAAGGGAGGTGGCTCTGAAAATTGGCTTAGGCTTAGGCTTAGATTTAGGCATACGCTAGGCTTCGGTTTGGCTTCGGCTTGGCTTAGGCTTGACTTAGGCTGGGCTTAGGCTTGACTTAGCTTAGGTTAGTCTGGGCTTAGGCTTAGGCTTAGCTTTGTCTTAGGCTTAGGCTTGGAACGTCTCCGCCTCCTGACTCACATTGTCAAATACAAGTTATACGTCAGCGCTAGGGTCTGGATAAAAACTGTTCCACGACGATCCGCGAGTACGCTATATCCAAACGTGACTCCAATCATGCATAGACTGAATGAGAACAGCACCATCCGGCGCAGGAGCTGAATTTGAGTTTTTAAAGTATCGGATGGTATGAGATACCCTGATAACACGAAGGTTTTCTTTGACCTGGAACCGCACAGATAGGCCATAATGGGTAAGGCCTAGCGGTGGTTTGCTAGTCCCTTTTCGAGCCTTCTGTTCTTCTAGCCATAGCCAGGCCTGCTGATTCTGGGAGTGCAAGACGAAGTAGAGCTGAAAATGAAATGGAAGCAATCAATTAAAATGTAGAAAAATCTAGAAAGCAAGATTTTAATTGTTATAAAACCTACTAATATTGTGGCAATCTGAATAGCGAAAAACAAGACGGCCGAAGCGATTGTACAAAGTTCGGGGTGAGCAGCGAGTACTGTAAATTATCTTCATGTACTCACCAAGCTTAGGCCTGGTTCTGTTGAGAGTTAGGGCATAGCCAAGGTTTTGGCTTCGGATTGGGCTGCAACTTAGGCCTAGGCTTCGGTTTAGGCTTAAGCATATGCTTCGGCTTAGGCTTGGACTGATTTCAAATACCTCGAAAAACTCACGAAACATTCCGCCAACGATCACCACACTTGCCGCGCAAGCATTTACCGCTAAGACGCCGTTGAAATACAAACTACGCCCGTTCTTCTCGTAGTCGGCGATGAAGAAGGTGGCAAAAAGTCTGTAAATTTGGTTTCGAAGCCGTGAATAGGCATTCCTTGTCGTGAAAGCACAGTCAAATACACTTTGCGACTTAAACAACTTGTTAATCTTTTTCTCGCTTTGAACTTAAATGTCTTAATGTTTTTATAGCTTTTCGGATGGCTCGAGATACTTCCACATCCTGAAGACTTCATCAGCTACCCTTACCTTTCAATGCAAATCAGCTGCGGCACAAATCCGCCGGCCCCGATCAGCATCAGTCTCAGCCATGCGAGTATCAGGACGGCAATCGGATGGATTAGAGGAGTTTCTGAAACGAATCTTTTTTAGTAAAACCGGAAAATCGATCGTAAGCGTTTAAATCTAATTCGACCTTAGAAATCCACAATTTAACTTTTAAAGTTTCGTATAACTGGTGGCGTTTCTCACCCCAACCATACAGCTGATCAGCTTCAAACAGCAGCAAATAGAACCTGGCCACCAGGCTGATGACCACCCAGAAATTCATATAATGTAATGTTCCGATAAAGTTGCGGCTCAACACACCGGAGTCGACGAGCAGATTGGTGATGACCGAGGCCATAACGATATCAAAAATGGCGAGCGTGGCCTCGAGGATAGCCTCAGCCTCCCAGATTGTGAGCAAGATGGAATTGTCCTAAAAAATTATTACCACTGTGCACTCCAAGCAAATTAATTTTTCTGAACGTCATTTGTTATATTGCGTAGCTGTCGTCACCCAGTCGATGGCTAGGGTCGATCCAGCGCTTCAGACCCCCTCGAAACGCTCACCTTCACAACCTCCAAGTTCGCAAACGTTGGCTGAAAGAACTCGTAAGTGGCGTTGCCAATTTTAATGCCATAGAACATGTGATTTCCAACAATTGTGAGCGACAGAATCTTGAACAGTTATTGACGTTTGCGAAAAGCTTTGAAAGCTCAAAAATTTGGGGGTCTAGGCAGTGCAGGTGGAATTTTCAGTGGCGATTCCCGGCTCTTTGATTCAATTAGGGCCCAACTCATTAAGCTGCCGAGCATAAAGCGGTACAATTTTAGGCTTAGGCTTAGGCTTACTTCGATCTTGTATTACAGATTTCAAATATCTTTATTCACCATTCGGAACGATAATACGCAAAGTATGCTTGCGTATCCGCTTGATGGAACTCAGAGCTGCGCATCGGTATCGTTGAGTCGTTAATGGTCGACGTTTTCGACCAGCCCAGTCTGACGCGCCACACCTAAGATATTGAAAATTTATTTTAAGAAGCACAGAAGAAGAAAATTGATAGAATTCAGTTTTGCAGAATTACCTGACTCAAACCCTCGCGCCATTCCGGCACCATACAAACGATGACCGGCACCAGTGAAGACGCTACCCTGAAAATGTTTCTTTCTTTTAATTTCTCCACTTACATTGTTAAGAAATAGCTATAGGTAAGCTTTATAAATTGCAGTAGAAAGTCCGGTGATTGATATCCGATGACCAGGTATCCAAAGCCGACTCCGGAAACCTGCATCGTGGCAACGCAGAGTATCATCTCGTGGCAACAAAAAGAGCTAAATTCCTTTCAAACTCTTAAAAATGCCACAGAATGCGGGAACAACAAAAAGTTGCTGGCTATTTAAAACCTTAATAAACTCGATACCATCCCAGATCATAGGTCAGGTCCACAGATTAATTTAAAGAAAGGGCAAATAGATCATAATACAGAAATTATTTGCAAGCCGAAACCGCTAGAAACTAGATCTGACCATTTTAATAAGATGCCAGCAACTTTTGGTTGATCCCACATTCTGTGGCATTTTTAAGAGTTTGAAAGGAATTTAGCTCCTTTTGTTGCCACGAGAATTCGCCTCTTTTTGCGAAAACCAAAAGCCCTTTTTTAAAAAGACTCTTTTTAGCCTTAGAGAGAATTTAGCCCTTTTTGCTTCAATCTTATTGTTAAGATCGTAAAATAAGCTAAGGAATACTTATTCAGATGAACCCTTGTACGCAAAACTTCAAAAAAAATTTGCCTGCGGCGCTTTGTGACGGCACTAGAAACCTTAAGGATGCACGGGCGCCAATCGGCAAAAACCACGCCTCGGCTGGGGTTCGAACTCGGGAGCCATGTCTTCCCAGTACAGCGTGCTAACCACTAAGCCAACGGGGAGACTGGCGCCCTGTCTTGGGGAAGCTAGACCCGCCCGCCCTGACCCGAGACCGGGGCCGCCAAAGGGGAGGGTGGCGCCCCGTATGGCGAAGGTTTAAAGTTATAATATCTCAGAGAAGAAGCATTCTTTCGATGCAATTTCTTCTTTACTTATTCCGGCATGGTCTAATGCATATTTGAGCAAAATTTCAGCCCAAACGGACATCACTAACCCTGGTTTTGACCGCAATTTAGCTTTTAAACTTAAAAATTAAATATAAATTTTTTAAAAGCTATTTTGAAAAAAACGCTTCTTCCTCACCTTCATTTACATCAAGTCGATATATTTGGAAAATTTCAGCCCAAACGGACCATGGGAAGGCACTTTTTGACGACTACAAGGGTTTTGCGTACATACAGACAGACATACAAACGCAGACCCCCCCCTCGAAACGCAACTTAAATCGGCTGTTAAAATTCGAAATTTAACTTTTTTTCAAATTTTAAAAACTTATAGTATGCAAAAAGTGTCGCCGGTTCCGATGGTGTATTCAGTTTGGCGATCCGATGCTTGGTTCTTTTTTAAATCCGGAAAAGGACCCCAAAAGAGTCGTATGGGGGGGTACCTCAAACCAAAAGGGGTTAGCGGGCTACGCCCGCTAACCCCGAATAAAGAGCTTTTTAATGGTTTTGTGATCAGCCTTGAGCAGCTCGGAAACTGCAAGAATTGTGAATGGGAACATTTGTGGGCCGGATTCTTTGCTCGATTACGCGGCGCGTTACGTTCCGCGACACGCAACGCGTTTTGCAGGGCTTACCTGGGCGTTGCGTGTCTAGGCACCTTCGACGGCATTTATAAGCGGAAAATCCCGGGTTTTTTTTACTGTCCGTCCTCTTAAAAGAGCACAGATCGAGCGGTAAACGACCCATCAATGGCGGGTATGAATGTTTGATCCTTTTGAACCCATGAAGTCGTTGAAGTTGTTGAAACTCGTAAACGATGACGCCATAAAACTCTTCACAATAGTAAAAAAATCAACCACGAAAATCGGGAAATTGGATCAGCGCGAGATACTGAACTAAATAAAATTAACCTAGGAGGCAAAATCATATTTAGATAGGGTTATGACCAAAATATGTATCAGTAAAACTTTACTGATCATCCAGATTTTTTCGGTTTTCTGCCATTCCCAAAATCCCCTTTTACCGGTGCCCCTCACCGGCATTGGGTGAGGAATCCTGAGCAAGAGCGGAATAATGGCCTCCCCACCTCCTCTTCTCCTCTTGAGCAAAACCGGATCCTCCACGATGCGCTAAATACCCATTGCCTTACAGCCCATTGACCAGGTGTTTCTTTTGGCATGGCTACTGTGGATTTTTTTAATGGATGGAGAATCAAAACGATGGCGAAAACAATTGGTCGAAGCGACCTCCGGCTTCTCCGAAAAACGACCTTATTGAGCCCGGGGGTAAACTGATAAAACCTGATAAAAACCGGATTCGGTGGTTGACTAATATAAAGCTCCGCGCCGATCATCGAAACAGAACTTCGGATACCGGGATCTGGTCTGATGATGCAGATCTTGAGCCTGCTCAAGCTTCTAGATTTCAATGTTCTTGTTAGGCCAATTTGTTGCTTTTAATTGCCTGTTTGCGCTAGAAATAACGCTTAATAATAACTTTATAGTAAACTCTGATGCCCTAAAGCGCTGAAATGAAAAAAATTCCTCCCGATCGAACCGTCACAGGCGGAAAAAGCCATGACGACACTAGCGATGGAAGGTTTTGCTTGCAAGTTGGGTTACGCGAACATACACACAGACCTCAAGATATTGTACGCTACTATACGCCCACATAGGTTAATGTACGGTACTGCGCGCTATTGCATGCTTCTGTACGCTACTATACGCTACAATACGCTAGCATGATTTTACGGTAATTCAGATGTTGATAGGTAGACGTGAAGGGCTGGGCGATCAATTTTTTTGGTCGCGGGCTTAAAAGATTTTTATCACTGGAACTAGGCCGTGCGTTTCATCTCGTAATTGGTTGAATCCTTTTAATGTACGACGACAAAGTACTTGGTGCGTTGCGTGCCGCACGCTGGTAAAATCTGTGAAAAACGATAATCATTCCTTTTCGGTCCTTTAAAAAGGTTTACTGGTCTGCTAAGTACTGTAAACACGGATTCCTGGCAGTCTGTGGCCGTCTTAGTCCCTGTGGAATACTCCAGTGTGGTACGCACCGATGCTCCGTACATTTGTCCCGCCCAACGCGCAGATCGCCCATGCCATCAACCTAAATCCTTCCCGTTTTTTGATTCTCTAGTTTGCAAAGCATTCTTTCCGATCGTCACGACAGCGAAAGCCAATTCACGGCCCGATGAAGCCCTCATTTAGGAGCAAATCGGACTCGCTAGGTCTTTCGGCTCCTCCCCATCAGGAACCCCCCCCCCCCCCCCGCCCTGTGTAAATGGGACGAGCTTAGCAGTCGAAGCTCCCCGTTTTTCGGGCTCCGAACTTGCCGTGTTATGGCCGATCTTCCCCAATGATTATTCAGCGTCAGGGTTGCTCACAGCAGCTGGAGATCCAAGCGACATTCACCGTACCTACGATCTGATCGCCAGATTTGGCGTACTCGATATTCGTCACGGCGCCTTCAGCTGTTTCAGTGGAACTTCACTGTGCCTTCACGGTTCATTTCCGGTCTTTCTACTCCACCGTGTTTTTTTACGCTTTAGGATAACTTTTCAGCTCTTCGTTAATTCAGTCAGGAGACACTAAAATTATCACCACACACTCATCGACAGCGACCGCTATGGATGTTGCCAACCATACATTTCTTAACAAAACAGCTTTTGCTTTTCTACTAGATTTTAGCCTTTTCAGTTTTCAGTTTAGCCCTTTGGTAATACATTACGTAAGGATTCGTTCATTGCGACGGCGTGTTCCGGAGCGGCAAATCCATAAGGGATGTGTTGTCGTACCTTGCCAGCCCCTTTAAGTGCTCAAAAAAGCTATTTACTATCGGAAAATCCCTCAGGGCGTCCTTAATTTTACGCAACCGATTTTTCGTTGCACGAGGACAAATAAGACATGATAATACGAACCAACAGTGGGATTTGTTTGAATCTCGTAGCTGTTGATGCACAGTATGTGGAAGAGGTAGATGCTTTCGCTGACCAACTGTTTAAGGGCACGGGCAAACAAAGTACGGTGTGAAGCGGTAAGACGTCCTTAAAGGCAAGCCTTGCCATCAGGCCCGTAGGAGGGGGGCCCAGGGGCCCTGGGCCCCCCGAAATCGGTCGAGGTCCGAAAAATTCATAAGGGGGGACCCTTATGATTTTTAGTTACAAAAATTTTTCTGCCTGCGGCGCTGTTTATCTGTTTTTCAAACAGTTTTTACTTATATGAAGCCTATTTTTTCAAAATTTTTTGCCTGCGGCGCTGGTTTTTCATTGCTGAATCAATTGTTCATAAAAAATTTTCGTCTGCGGCGCGTTTTCTGCCGTGTTTTCACACGAATTTGAGTGTAGCAAACCTTTTTTTTGCTATTTTTTTTGCCTGCGGCGCTATTATTGACGCGCGATTTTCGAATGTTTTAGAAGTAGCGACCGGGGGGTCGCCAAAATTTTGGGCCCCCGAAATTTCGGTTCCGCTACGGGCCTGCTTGCCATGCGTACTTGGCGGTTTTGCCAAAAAGAAAACGTAAATAGGTTAGGCAGTATTTTCAAATATAGCCTGGAAAGTAGGTTAGGCTTATTTTAGAAATTTTTTTGAGTATTTTGTTTATCTTAAAGTTTATTTGGGCTATCCCCCTTCTCCTCCTTTTTCGCTTGTTTCTTGATCTTCCAAGTGTCCTATTAGCTTTGCTATTCGATCCATCGAATCTAGTCGTACTTGATGGTTTCCAATCTTCGCCTGCCTTTTCTAGCCAGGCCCTTTTTGCATATCCTCCCTTCCAGGCGCATGTTGCTAATGGACTTTGTGGCTTTTTGCCTACGCTACGTGCCTATTCGAAATCTGGACTTTTCATTCCCTCGGGTACAGAAATGGTTCCTGTGACGTCGAAGCGGGGTTTGCGTGTGGTTTTTAGCCGCTCGTTTGGGTCAAGGGGTTTTCAGCCAGTTCCTCAACACCCATCAACCACCGCGAACTCGCCAGTCGGCGCATGGCTGCACGGGGCGGAGCGGCACTTATTGGACTCGGCATTTTTTTCGCTCCCTTAAAGCCCTATTCTACTTCCTTTTTTATTAGTTATTTGTTTATCCTCGCTATCTTATACTATGAGGCTATCGGCTCATTAAACATCTAAAATGGATAAACCCGAATATTTTTATCGATGGAAGTCGGAGAAATTTATCGATATTGCAAAGTCAATGTACA